AAAAGAGCCTACTGAGTTCTTAAAATGCCTAGATGCACTCACCTCAATGAGATTCAGCTTTCTTTCCAGAATGAGGATTCAGGAAAGCAAAAGGTATAAACAGGAACTTTCTGGATTGTGATTGGTACTAAAAATAAGAAGTTAAACTGGATGGCATAGTACAGAACTCTGGAAAGAATACATAGATGCTTCTCATGATAATAGTCACTGGTAAGTGTGGTACAAAACAGCTCTTCCAGGGTGTGTCACTGGGCCAGGCTTATTAATAATCCCCTTTGAACGGACTTTAAGGGTCTGCACTTTCCACCCCAAAATATGGCCAAAACACAAAGGGTCATTGTGGAAGTGTGTTCACATTAACTTGTATCATCAATGACGCTCTTACCAGCAAGCCTGTGACTTGGGACCCTGTTTCATTTCCTACAATAGAGCTGGGATCTTTAAACAACTTGATTGAGATGTGATCCTCAAATGACCCCCTTCACTCGTGTAAACAACATTTCAGTGATTTTTCAGCACCACGCACCCTGTGATTCCTTGACTGTTGGAGTCACTCCCGGTCCCGGGTTCCGGAGCAGGGAAGGGACACTGAGCAGCCACATGGAGAGCGACTTGCGGGGCCGCGCCCACCCGACAGTAGTGGGCAGCACCGCCCGAGTGCCCAGGGTGTCCCCAGAGCTACGCCCCTGCCAGCTGCTCCCCGGGGCGCTGCGCTCCCATTGTTCGCCTGCGACCCCTGCGGTCCTGGCACCCTCAGGCTCCCTGCTCCCCCTCCGATGCCTATCTCGAATCACCTTCCCCACCCCGCACTTGGGGTTCCCTCAATCCCAGGCCCCACGGAACCCACTCCATCCCCGCTGCGCTCCCTGGAACTCCCTTCGCGATAGGGACACACTGAACCCCCAGGGCCTACCCGGCAACAGACTTTTAGAGCCCACAGGCTCGCCCCCTGCGCTCCCGATATCTAGAGAAACACCTGGCGCAGCGCTTGTCTTAGTGCTTACCAAGTCCCGGCAATACCCGGACTTCCATGTGTATCTTGCAATTGACTGAATGTTAAGCTCCACGCAGTTAATGTGTTGAAATCCTCACCCCCTGTCCTGTGCTGGTCCTGTGCCCCGGGAGACACTCCAGCCCTCTGCGCCCTGGCACCCACTTCGCACTCTCCCCACCAGCTGCCCTGCTCCCTCTACGCTCCCCACACTGAGCTCGCCCTGGATCCAAAGAGTCTCCAGCGCCTCCTGCTCTCTCCGGGAACAGAGCACCAGGCCTCTGGAGGAGGCGGTGCCAGCCACCTCGGAACACAGCTCATCCCAGCCGGTCTGAAACCTATTGCTCTTTGGGAGGTGATACTTAAGTCGATTTCTATGAATAGGTAAGAGCAAAAACATTTGGTGATGATTATAAGGATCTTGATCTCTCTCTTTCTCTCTCTCATCTTCCATTCCTTCTGCTCGTGGTTCTTGAACCTACTGTCCTGTAGCAGCCTGGCCACTTACACATCTTCCCTCAACATGTCCTTTCCGCCCCACAGGAGCATTGTTCATTCTCTCCAATGATCTGAGTCATCAGGGACTCATTTTCCGTAGTGTAGCTGTTTAGAGGCTTCTTTTTTTGTGGGAATGCTGCTGCTCTCAAGTGCATACATGTTGACCTTCTTCATCAGGCACCAGAGGAGGCCCCAGCACCTTCACAGTCCAGCCTCCCAGAGAGTCCCACAGAGAAGAGGGCCACCCAGACTCTCCTGCTGCTGGGGAGTTGCTTTGTGGGCAGGTACCGGGTGCCCTTCACCATCTCTTCCTCCACCCTGTTAGGGACGCGCAACCCAGTCATCCTGATTAGCCAAAGGCTTGTTGCAGTCAAAAGACAATTCCACAGTCAGTCCTTTAGCATTAATTTGAGGGGATATGAAAAGAGCCAGTGTTTCAAAAATATCCTGGGGAAGAAACATTTATTTCTAACAAATCAGTGCTGGTATTTGTTTTAGTTTTTTCTTTTCTTTCGTTCTTTCTTTTCTTTCTTTGTTGTTGTTGTTGTTGTTGTTGAGACAGAGTCTCACTTTTTCATCCTTGGTAGAGAGCTGTGGCATCATAGCTCACAGCAACCTCAAACGCTTGGGCTCAAGTAATTCTCTTGCCTCAGCCTCCCAAGTAGCTGGGACTACAGGCACCAGCCACAA